AAGTAAACATTTTGCATATGAAATAAAGTACTTATATTAAAAGCTAATTATTTAATACTACGCATACAATTAGTAGTTTTTTTCTATACCGGTAACGTAAAAAAAAGTAATAATAACTGGATATATAAGACATTATCAATAAAGATGCACACCGAGGATGCCAATATACACTCGGTTAGTCATCACTCGGTAGTAGCATTGTACCATTAACTACAGTATGTCATCAGCCTAACTTCTACCAATCACCTGCATGCTACTCTTAAACTCGGCTGATTATACAAAAGACATATATGATTATGTAAAGTGAACTATTGACCCTCCGGATTTGATAATTAAGTCTGAAGGTTGAGATCTATTTAAGTTTCATGTAAAAACTTGTTTTTAACTACAATTGATTATTACATTGTAAGTCTGTATTGTATTTATCTATATACATTTAGCGTATATTTTGTTAGCCTTTATCAAAATACGACTGTATGATAAATGGAACGTAAGTGTGTAAATTTCATTGTTAAATATAGATACTTTAGTGCAGCCCTTATGTAAATAAATAATTATCATATTCAGTCAGGCAAAAATAGCAGGCATTGTGATGTATCGAAAATTACAACATAGTTACAAGCAACGTGATCATTTTATAATTCTGTCTTCTAGATTACTTTTGTCTACGTAAATCTAGTTACGTTATTTACTTACACAATATGATAGTCTCGTTAATTAATAATATTCTGGTAGATATATAATAAATCAGGTTAATTCACACAATGGTATCGAGTCAATTTAAGCAAAGCTTGTACTATAAGTGCTAAACAACTGAAAGACATACAAAAACACGTATTGTATAAACCACTAGACCACCGAGACCGTCAGTATATGAGTAATATTTATTACAGTATACTATTTTTGTTTTTCGCAATCAGAAAAGAAGCTAACAGAACCGTGACAAAATGACAAGCAAATTAATGTCCATTGATATAGAGGCGCATTTAAAAAGTCACATTTAGAAATCGTTACAAATCGTCTCCACCGCGGCTATAAAGGAAGTGTGCCCTAAATAACGCCAGAGTAAGAGGTTGCCCGTCCCCTGGCATGAATAAATTCGCGCTGAGAACTGTCCCGCCTCCCCGGAATCACTTGATAACCGACTACGCCTATGCTTTATAACCCATGACATCCGAAACTCGATTTATTATCACACTGTCTTGTCTCGTGATTCGAAAAAATCGGGAAAGTTACGCTAGACTTTTCTAGGACACTTTACACTGTAGTATGGTAATGTGGCTCCCGATATTTCTCATTCCCCTGTTATCTATATCCCCTTCCTGTTGTAAGCCGTTGTTTTGGTCAGTTGATATATTCGCAGATATTATTTAAATTTCGAACGACAACCAGAATATTCTTTGTGAAATTTTATTAATATTAATAAATGTTTCGAATTTTTCGTGCAAATTATTGTTGATTACAGTACAATTTGTTACCGATTTTTTTTATAAAAGCATTATTAACTCCTCATTAAAAAATAATATTACAGCAAGTGTGGTGGTACCCAAAGACACACGCATTGTAGTCAACCAAATAAACTGTCCGCTTCATCTGCTTGTTGCATCCTCTAATGCACTAAATATCATTGCATAGTCCCTTTTACTTTCAGTCCGTATTCGCAGATTTTCCTCTTTATGGATATAACAATACGTACCACAGATAGATATATTAGTACTTCTAGTAACGTACGAATTAAATTGATCTACTATAAAAACTGTGCGCTATATATGAATTAATTTAATCCACACTAATGTACTAAGCGGTAATGTATGTAAATGTTTCTTCAAGGTCGACAATGTATGATGGGACCTTGATATAATGAACAGTGAACCACATGCGTCTTTATCACCTCAGTGGTTAAAAAAAAGTGTTTTTATAAATATGATGTCACAGAAACCGGTACAATCCGGACCATTGCAAGCTGTTAAGTGTTTGCCTATTAAATATTGTTGAACTAAAAGTGTTCTCTGTTCGGTTTAACAATTGAATAATTGTCAATTAGGATTGACGATATCTGTGAGACTGTGGTATGGCAGCCATGTTGCTTTGCGTAAACTATAGAGCACAGACAACTGGTAAAGGAATCTATCAATAAATCCAAGACGTCGGTTGCTATCTTTTTCTATTTCCATAAGCATGTGGTAACGATCGATTCTTTGTCATTTTAAATAAGTATTTACATTCTATTAGTATCCATTCACATCCAATAGTTTTATGGATTTCCATAAAACAATTGTACAAGTTCCGAGCAATAAACGTTTCACGGATCACTTTTGTTTATTACTGACACAAAATATTGTATCAGACTAAACAATCGGTTTTGAACTCTATGATATGGAAACATCTGTAACAAACGCAATTATTATGATGATCTTAAGGGATATGTGATCGTTTGCTGTTGGATATGTATGCCAGTCTTGTCAAAATGTAATGCAATTAGAATGTTGATGTCTTCGCGACGGTTCAACGTCATGTGGTAGGTAGAATGCTCTACCACATGACTTCAGCACGCCATTGCGTCTCGAGGCCCAGTGTTTTTTAAAGTATAAAAATACATCCCATCCTCCATTCCTCATTGATTGAAAACCTTTCAAAAAAAAATATGTGCATATTTTATAAATAAATATTAATCATATTTAGTTGACAAGAATATAATGATATATCGGAAATTACACTCGTAATATAGTGACAACCTAGTCGTAATTTTATAATTCTACATTGAAATCTAGTTACATCTTTTCTGTCGACTGAAAATGAATGCATTTTGTGAGTAATATATTATTTATAAAAATAAATATTACAAAAATGTACGTAGGTACATATAAGTTAGAGTCTCGGCGATAGTTCGGTGTCATATGGTAGGTATGTTGTACCATATATATAGCCTACAGTATTTTTTAGGGAATAAAAATACACCCTATCCGTCTTCTCTCATTGAGTGGAAAGCTTTAGAAAATATTTGCATACGTTAAAGAAAAGGATCATCGCATCGGTAGATCAACTAATCCCTCTAAAATCCATTAGTGATTACTGTCGAAATCATACCATTTATATGCTATTTTTATTTTCCAATTAATTATTTTATCAATCTAATTTAACAGATAACCGTAATTAAATGTGAAACGCATTCTTCTGAATCTGCGTCTTCAATACATAATAAGACTTTATGTCTTCGCTTAAGCTTGTTTTATATCGAACTTATTTCAGGATAAGCATGTCAATTATCCACATCGCATATTAAGAGCAGCGCACTTTATTCTGAGCAATGACTCACGCAGAGAAAGTCCGTTACATCGCTGAATATGCGACAGATTTATCGTGGTTTATTAGAGTTGGGGTATTTTTATCGATATTAAATATATTTAATTGAAAATTTATCGATATATTTCATAAACGAATATTCACATATAAAATATACAACGGAACAATTTTGATTGTTAATAGATATGAAAGAAAGACTTTTAAGAGATCTACACTGAAGCTAACTTGGATCGCTTTAAAAAAAAACGAAAACTAATTTCACCATTAGATCGTAGAGGCCTTGTTATTCATTCACTCCCGATTAGTCATACGTTTACATAATCAAATATCCGCACAAACCACATTCCGCGAGCACTCTTCTATTTCAAACAAGCATTTCATTTTAATATTTACATATCAAACACATTATGTTGGCGCAGTGTAAAATCTTTACCATAGGGTCATAGTCGGTATTTGTATATGGACTGATTGACATTATGCTTAGTAAATATTATATATATTTAAATAACATTAAGTGTAAAAGATTATATTTATGTAAAACAAACAATTGATTAATACTCGTTTGTAATACAGTATTTTCCAGTATTTTTTATGATAACAGTCACTAAATAAAAATCAGATAAAAAAGTAGGTACATACGAAACAAAACAAATCTAGTAGATTTTGAAAGTCTGATCTAACTTCTGTAAATACAAAATAAATTTCTTAAACAAAATCTATGACAGGTTAAGAAATATTATATGAACTATACTTGTATACTTTATATATATTAACAAAAATGTTACAATAAAAAAATATAACGAGCTCGCTCTTGAGACATAAGTTTTCATTTTTATTTCTAAAAGTAATAGTTATAAAAAGTCTTATGAAATTTAACGAATAATTACATTAACAATATAACCATCCATATAATAATCCAGATACTAATAATTATAAGTAACAATCTCTCAGAATATCGAAGGTCGAAGCAATGGCAATTTTCCATCACTATCGCTCGTCACCTGGGAGGCGGGTGTGCGGGGCGCGGGGGCTACAGACTTGGCGTCGCTATGTCGGGCAGGTTACGATTTACACTCCACCAACTCAGCAGAAACTCTGCCCGAACGAGAAATGCTGATAATCCACATCCACAGACGCTGCGTGAGAATTAGATCGAGATTACTATGATATTGCCATCGCGTGACGTTTTTATTGGCCATACGGATTTAATTAGATTCGAAATAGAGTTGTCAAGATTGCGACGTTTCGTTATAACAATTTCTAACGGAATGTGTTTCATATAAAATCTTCATGAAATGAAACAATAGAAAAGAAGAAAACACGGCTAATAACAATATAACATTAAATAAAATATTTTAAATTTTAGCAAAACGACTTGTAAAGTCGTTTTCTACATTATAAAATTGATTTTTAAAAATATTTATTTTAGAGATAAAGCAAACTATATTAACTTTAAATTAAGCGTGTAACATAATATAGATGAATAAAAAAAATGGTAAACATCTCGCATTTACGGCCTTATTGCATACCGTACTATATTTAATTAAATGGCCCAATTCGTTACGGTCCCTAATATTTGATATATTGCAAACATATTTTCTTTATTGTCTATTTTGTCTATCTAGCAATGGACAATAGTCTGTACTAAAATCTCTTTCGTAAAGATTTATTCTTACATTTGTTTGCTTTTGTTCCAGGTCATTCATAGCTACTCCAATGTGGCGACGACGTTACACAGCGATGGAGTTGGTCATGGTCATTATTTGCGGATATTAGAGCGGTGAATGAAATTCATGCCCTGATATACTTTGTGGAGAAAAATAGTTTACCTGAGGTTGTGGTGACATTCTAAAACGATTCCTACAACGATCATCACAAGGAACCAAATACGAGAAGACCAGTTATTATCGAGACTGATACTAGTGTTCCAACAGTTGTTATTGGCAAGCAAAATTGACGATAAAAGTGCGTGATTGGATAATTAAAGTGATATTTTGGACGTTTAAAATTGTAGGCTAAGATATTTGACCTCGCGTAAGTAACAGTTGGTGAATGTATCGAGGATTTCCGCCGTTTCGAAGTATCTTCTCGCTGTCCCCTCCTAAATGTCAAAATTAGGTCTGTTTCAATTTTGAATAAAATGTAGTTAACATGCCTCTACAAATAGACTGATTTCACTATTTCGACTATTTTGTCGGAATTTAATGCACGTTAAGAATGCTTGTCTGGTTCAACCGAAAGCTTCATAATAAACCATCGAGATTCATGGTTCATAGGTTATTGCCATTTTTAGTTTCTAGAATATCGTCTACAAATGCCATACCGTTTGTCATATTATAGTAATTAAATGAAATATTTTTGCGAAAATCATATTTATTATATCTGGTTTGTATCGACATGAAGTACAGTTTACAAAATATTTGGTTTAGATTTCATGTACGTAATATACACCATATTGAACCATTCTGCGCAATTTTATTAAATTTAAATAGAATATTTTTGGTAATAACTTTTCAGTATAACATTAAATGACAAAGGTATGCCAATAAATATTTCGTTTACATTTTAATAATCAATTTTGTACTCAAAATCTTTTAAATTTTCATGAAATGTCGCAGAATCCATTATGACTTTATCGATACTATTAATAATAACACTACTGATTGTGCCTGTTAGAATATTTCGAGAAGGGAATTTAGATCATATGCTCATTGTTCAAACATTTTTGTAATAGACCTTATGACTTTGGAATTTATATTTTAGAAGTATGCACAAACAAAATCCAATATAGTCAGATCTCTAGTCCCAGATGTTAATTTGAATAAGCTACTTTGCCTACTAAGTTCAGATTTTACTCATAGTTAAGCAGTGTTGAGGTTTAGCCCAAAGTAGCAAGAAAAGTTCATTCTGTGAATTACCTCAGTGGACTGTTTGTGATAGATTTAGCCAATAAGTGTTCAATTTAGTACTTGTATCATATTATAAGTCAATTCTTGTACCTTTTGGCGTCCATTTATATGTATATTTTAAAGAAGCGATTGGTTTTGCATATACATTATTATACATATATATTTTTTATTTTATGCAGTTGACTCGTAATAAATTATTCTCCGCTTTTATATCTACTGTACTACGTATATTTGCAGCTGATGATGGTGCTATAGATACTATTTTGGATAGCGCATATTGACATTTTTAATTTCAAAATTGAATACTTTTACAAATGAAAACGACGTACAAAAATCTAATTAATTTAACGATGCGTTCTTTGACAACATGGAGCACTTTTCTGGTAGAATTTCAGTCAATATTGTTGACAAAAGTTCTATCAGGAATTTATGTATGAACGTCACATGTATCTACTAGATGTAGGCATTTAATATGATTAGGCCTTGGAATTGGGACGCGAGCGACGATCACACAATTTAATTTCTTTAATTATGTAGATAGTTAATGTATACTTTTATTTTTCGTGACTTGAAGTCATAATAGTCCTTGGATGTCGACAATCGACGTTTACTAGGTGATGGGAATTATAAATAGTAACCATTTGCCAAATATACATACGTAACAAAGCCCAATAACTATTCGATTATATTATTATATAATGCGAAAATTAAATCGATAGTTGTATTATATGAGTGTTTTAGATGATTAATCTCTTCGGAGTTATCTCATGCAGTAGTTAAATAAGAATGTTAGTTAATTAGGTATCTCTTGGTTGTTGAAATATTGAAAATATACATTGCGACGAGACGTTATTCAATGTCAATCCATATGGTCAATTAAGTATGGACCGAATTAAGTCTGTTCCCATTAAGGCCTAGCGTTAATGTGAAGGAATGAAATTGTAGACTTAGTTGTGCTTCTAGTCCTGTTTTTGCTTAATTACATAAATACTGACGTCAACTAGAAATACCTAGTTAAATCTTTACCGTAATATTAGTTAATTTTCGTTCAAGTTTATATATATTTACCTAGTAATAATAGTAAATACGTACAATTATTTATTCCATTACCTACATAAGAAAATGTTATTTTTTCAACACATTATTACTTCGAACAAAACGTCAGTTTCAAAGTACAAATTAGAACTAGAAGCACAAACGTGAATTAGATATTATATATAAGAAATATGTTACGCAGCTTTATTATGTAGGGAAATTATGCATGCTACATTTTGTTTATTTATTTAAACAATAGAGTTTACAGTCGCATGCATAATTTTGATACTGAAACTGTGTGATAAGGGACCCGATTTTATACAAACGTAAAGACTTTTTTTGTACACAAATTATCTATTTATGTTATATATTATTTATTGTTCGGTTGCGACCGTGTACAAGTGGATATTGGATGTCAGGGCATCTAGTTAATCATTCTTTAACACCGCACAAAAAAAATAAGTTACAGTACGAATGAAGGATTAATGAAATGAGTTTATTCTGAAATGGTTTTGGCAACATTAATTGTATTTTTTTAGTAAGACACGTTTATTAGCACGTCATTTATGGGAACTGGTTGACATTTGAAAGAGAAGAGTTAAGGCGCGTAATTTGTTGCCATAATAAAAATATAAAATTAATGTTGCCAACAAATGGTTTTATGATTTAATTATTATTGTATGGACGTGGATATTACGATTGTTTAGAATAGGGCCCCTGGTGTAGGTCTAGATGAGTCGCATAGAAATATTATCTGCATTGAGCTGAGATGATTCTCATATGTGTGTGCGTAACTAACCGTAGTGCGCATTAAGTCCCCATTCTATGATGCTCATGGGATTTACTTGTCTCTAGTGTTTAATAGATAAAATATATTTTATTATTAGTCCATCGTTAGTAATCATGTATTTATAGGAATCGGGTGCAACAGCAAGCAAAATATTTCTATGTGAATTATTTCGTACAATATTAAAAATTTTATATGTTTGCATAGCTATTGTTTATTGCGTAACATTCTCTTTAATTCGTTGTTTTTTTTTTTCAGTTGCTTATTATTATAATTATGACGAAAAATGTGAAAAACTAGTTAAATTAGAAGAAATTATGTGTTTTAATGTAAATATATAGACAAAAACATTGTATGTAGAAGTACATAAATATTATTTATGTATTAAATTTGATATTGTTTTCAAAATTTAATATGTTGTTTTATTATTAACCTTATCATTCCTTGTAGTTAATAAATGATTAGGAGAGATTTTACGTTTATAAAACAAATATATTGTATTTTACTGATAAAGGCTATAACAGAATAGCAGAGAGGGTGGACTCACTGCCCTCACTGAGTTATAGACCGTTTTGTCTCATTAATTAGTTTTTAAATTATATTATTCTATGGGCAATAGTTGTATTGTGTAAAAAGTTTCTGTTTGAGACAAATAAAGATTATTATTATAAGGATTAAGACTTATCTTCCTAAGACACTGTCTTGGTAGATAAGTAGCTATACAGATGAGTAAGATATGTACCACCAATCTAATGCATGGTGTTCGTGGAGTTGCCGTTAGGCAGGTTAGTAGGCAGTTATCACCATACTGGCTGACTGTTTGTTTTCAGCATTTCAGTTACCTACATAAAAATCTTATAGTAGTCCTAACTTTAAGCTTTCAAATACATAGGTACCAATATTTTTTTTTATTGATGATAATGGAATTGTGCATTCGCCTGCGCTAATGGTTTAAGCGAGTGGGGTACCAGTGGGGAATTATAGGATTAGCTATTAGATGCTATAGATAGCTATTAGATAGATAGGATGAAGTGAGGTCAGTTAGCCCATCGTGCAAATTCACCATGACGGTTTCCCGGGGGAACTGTGTGGAAGTCAACCTGACGTGGTGCATTGCTAGTCATCAGTCCACATTACTAAGAATCCCCTTTCCACCACATACCTATATTAAAATCATCAATATTGTCTACCCTAGACTATTTTCAAACCGACCAAATGAACTGGAGTTCCATTTCGAGTTTTTTTACTCTACTGAAGAGTTACTTAGATTGAGAGACTGTATCAGATTCTAGGGATAAAAATGAAAAGTCACGACATGAAGAGGACCGCTTCTAGTCTTTTACAAGAAGAAATAAGTGCCTACTTGTACTTATGTTCTTGTATAATATTAATATTGTTTACGTACACTTAATGCCAATCTGATATATGCATTACCTACTGATGCAAGCAAACACAATGGCACAATTACAACACCAAATTCGAAAAAAAAAATCTTGATTGTAATTAACCTCTTTGGTGATTTCAAGCGGAGTAGCGGTAAAACATTTTTTATAACATTCTTTTTTCGAATAACTTGAGATTCAACGAAATCCCTCATTATGCAGTCTCCCCGCAACATAACACATTAGTATCTCAAGGGACATTTTTATTATGAAACTTTTCGAATATTTAACGCTATGTAATAGACATTTTTTTATTAGAAGTGAGTGGGTGAAGTTTTTATTACGCCGAGAGCTATTTCTAAAGATTTTATACGAGTTTCAGCAGTCTGAAAGTCATCAGTTTATAATAAAGTTGTCATATAAAACTCTTCAATCTCATGAGGGTAGATGAAGGTAGTTTAAATCGATTGCTAACGTATAGGTACTACTTATTTGACCTAAACTACGAGGTGGGCTGTATTTTTACAATAATATAACAAATATCTACCTATATGTACCTATTTTGTTTCATTTAGGTAGCATCTAAGTGAGATACTATTATTTGTAATTTTAAAATTTCTTATCAATGTTTTTGAGTAATGTATACCTATAGCAGGTATTTAGAAATTCCAAAGATATTTAATTATAGCGACATGCTTAGAATTTATATTTATTTAATTACTACCTACTACATAAATATTTGTTGAATAAGTTAGGTTTTAAAATATAACAAATATACACTTCAATAACAGCAACAAAAGATATAGTTCATATTTTTCAAGATTTTTTTGCTAATATTCCGATTGATATTACATCTTCTCTAGACTCATCTCCAATTCGAGCAAAAACATTACTGGAGGCTAATGTCAGCCCTTGCTCTTTAACATTTAAATTTTCACATGTCAGCCCTTTTCATGTCATAAAAATATTCAAACAGTTAAATTTAAAAAATACGGAAGATCTCTGGGACATGTCAGTTAAAGTAGTTAGTTCATTCATAGATATTGTTGCTCCTTATCTAGCTACTATTTTCAATAAATGTGTTGATAATGGCGTGTTTCCTCAATTATTGAAATTTAGCAAATTAATTCCACTCTTTAAATCTGGAGATAGATTTGAGCTAGGCAACTATAGACCAATTTCTATTTTGCCAGTTCTAAGTAAAGTATTTGAAAAGATTATGTTTAACCAAATGTTAAAATACTTCAGGGATAACGGACTGCTTCACAGTCAGCAATATGGTTTCACCGCCGGCAAGTCTACTACTGATGCAGGTGTAGCGCTTATTACACATATATTCGAATCATGGGAAAACTCACAGGATGCTCTCGGCGTTTTTTGTGACTTGTCGAAGGCGTTTGATTGCGTAGATCATGAAACACTTTTGTACAAGCTCAAATATTATGGTATTAGAGATAATGACCTAAGTCTAATGAAAACTTATCTAGAGGATAGGGTGCAAACTGTAGATATTGATGGTGTAAAGTCTAAGGGAACTAATATAAAAATGGGCGTTCCTCAAGGTTCAATATTAGGCCCATTTCTCTTTTTAATTTATATAAATGACCTTCCCTACATGGTAGAGAAAGTTGCAGATATAGTGTTATTTGCGGATGATACTTCGTTAGTGTTTAAAATTGGTCGCCAATGTAATCAATTAGACGATGTAAATTATGCTATCTCTGCTATACTAAATTGGTTCACATGTAATAATCTATTATTGAACTCCAACAAAACTAAGTGCATTAAATTCACGCTGCCTAATGTAAAACAAGTAAATACGCAACTATTGCTTAATGATGAAATAGTAAATTTTGTTAATGATACAGTTTTTTTTAGGAATAACAGCGACTCGAAGTTACAATGGGGGCCCCATATTTCAAAATTAGCCAGTAGACTTAGTTCTGCTGCTTATGCAATTAGAAGGATAAGGCAATTAACAGACGTGGCGACGGCAAAACTTGTATATTTTAGTTATTTCCATAGCATTATGTCATATGGCATACTGCTATGGGGTAAAGCTGCCGATATAAATACTATATTTATTTTACAAAAGAGAGCCATACGTTCTATTTATGGTATGGGTTCTAGAGAGTCATTACGTCAATGCTTTAAACAATCAAATATCCTCACCGTTGCCTCACAGTACATTTATGAAAATATTATGTATACAAGGAAAAACTTAGATAGTTTCAAGAAACTTAAAGACTGTACAAGTAGAAACTTACGCAATAAAAATAAGCTAATTTTACCTAAATGCCGTCTACACAAAGTTAGTAATTCATTTTATGGTAATTGCGTAAGATTCTATAATAAACTGCCAGAGTCTACGCTAAATCTTACAGAGAGGCAATTCAAATCTTATATTAAACAAATGTTATGTAAAAAAGCCTATTATAAGATAGATGAATTTATAGATGATAGCAATATATAGCAAGAATAAGTTTATCTGCGGACAACGTTATAATTTTAATTTTCATACTGCTTTCTTAATATATGATAGCGTAGCGGCTTTTGTATTGATTGCCGCATGCATCCTTATGTAAAGTGCGAATACTGTAACTACCATATAGTAATTTTTGTAGCTGTGACGTGGTCGTGTGGAATGAGTAGTCATGCTCACTAAAATGTCCAGACATGTGGCGGCGTGGTGGGCCGGGTCAATGGGCTCCCTAAAATATGGTCGAGCGCAGTGATGGCTGGCTCATCCGTCATACTCGTGAACGAGTGCTGCTTGTAGGGACTGGTCTGCTCTTATCACTACGACTGATTTAATCTTATTGCATGATTATATTTGACCCAAAAAATTAGTGCTTGTTGGTAGTTTGTATTCACACGTTTCGACTTGTAAATGTAAACTTACAAGGATTATTTAAAAGAGCAACACACAAGTTTCTTGCTCGTTCTTCTTGTGATGAGACAGCTTTCCGAACGAGTGGTAGATAAAAAACAAATTGTTATGACTATTCAAAAGTGCTTAAATTAAGTTTATTTGAATAAATGATTTTCTATTCTATTCTATTCTATTCTACACCTAATTTTACTTTTTTATTTGTTATTGGCCGTAGTATAAAACAAAAGACAATTTCAATACTTTCAATATTATCCATCACACATGTCATAAGTTGATACCTACTGTCTAATAATACAAGAAAGAACAATTTGTGAAAATCATGAAAACAAGAATTTTATCCTTGGGAAAAACATTTGCCAAATTCTTCGAACCTAGAAAATATGCTACACGTCCAGGTAAAACGAAGGCGGGAAGTGGATTGTTTATTTAATATTGGTTATTCTGGATATCGTCATACTCATGCTAGGCGGACGAGAATAGTAGTAAAGTTTAAAATGAACTAGCCATAAAAATAATCATGTACGGTGTGAGAAGGAAGTTAATATTTGATTCCTTATTCTAAAATATTAATAAATAAGTATACACTCACGACTACTATTCCGGATGAGGTAGTTTGAGGTATTCTCAATTATTGATGTCATGGTGTGGTGAACGCTACACTTAATGTGCCTATATTGTGCACAGTCAGATTTGAACTTTGACTTTCCTGGTGTAAATCAGGGTATTAAAACACTAGGCCACGTCGATTTCAGATTCCTCTATATCTCTACGTATACTTAGATACATACGAATTAGTTATATAAAAGTAGGTATTGCTCTCGCTTCTCTATGCATACCTTATGAGTTACCTACTCTTCCGTAGTTTTAAAGTATATCTTTATCTCAAATCTATGGTAATCAAATCTCAATCTTTATGGTATTCAAACCGAAACTAACAGAAATATATTGGTTTTAGAAACAGACTTACTGGTGCAGATCACTTTGTACAAAGTCCCTCTCTTACTTCTACACGCCAATTTTGTTTACAGTTCGGTGTGATGCACATATGAATGAACTGCCAGTGCCATGTGGGCCATGGGAACTTTGGTATAAGGATAGACAGAGTTATTACAATAAGTTCCTGTTTGCTGGGATTACTTGGTAAATACCTATACATACAAACACATTTTATATAGAACCATTTAAAATTTACTATAGGTCGCAGCACTTGCAGAAAAAATGCAGCTCAAGCATACCTTTTTGAATAAAACTAATATATGACATAGTGAGTGCATATATACCTACATAGTTACTACATTGTGGTATGCTACCGTCGACGGAAAATAAGCACATTTTCTATCTGCATTATCCAAAATCCTTCTTCCGTCTCTATACAACTGTTGTAAAAAGATACGATATGGTAATAATGCGGTTAATTATAAAGTCCCGAAAAGGATATTATAAAACACTGATTAATTAACAGACGTTAGAAATTGAATACAAATGATTTGTGCAGAAATTGAGTCTATAGGCATCAGTAATATAACACAGAGATTGGTAATTTGCAATGGCAAACAAGCAGACGGCACGCCTGATGTCTAAATGGTATACATCGCATATATACCTACATGAACACTTAAGTCGCCCGTGATAATTGTGCATCGCCATTTCAGAAGCCTAAGATGTTAACGCCTCCCTGTTATTTCATTGCTTTATCTCACCCTATAACCAAAATATAGCTTAGAAAGCTATTAGGCACATTGGTTGTTACTATGTACCTGTTGTCTTACGTGAGACTGTGATGAAATCAAGTAAAAATTGTATTTACTGCTATATATCGACTGAAAATCTCCAACAAAAGCAACTTAATGAATAGTCTACTTCGATGTTTTATAAGTAATTTGACCAATCTATAGCCATTGTATTTTTATCATGTTCTGATATTTTTTACAGGTGGTTATTTTCATTATTTATGGTGATTTATACAGAGAGCATATTCTTAAACTGGGGCCCGCCGGCACAACCCGGACCACCTAGTGATATGGTGGAGGAATGTGATGACAGCGATACATGAACAACCTTGTTTCATTGAAATTAAAGTCCAATTTAATTTAATCTGCTGTTTGTTATTTACACTTCAGGTAATAGGAATGGCAAAGAGTATGACCCACTTTATAGTTAATGGTAACCACCACCTGTTTATAATATAATATTCCTGGACTGTTCACAGTGATATTGTTATGGTACTAGAGATCTGATAAAAAATACTTGAATACGCGTATTTGTAATATACGTAATGAGAATGAAATATAATTATAAATATACATCATGAATATCAATGTTTGTATCGGGCCAGGAATCGAACCTGCAATCATAAGAAGTAAAACGACGTGCTAAATCGCTAGACCACCGAGGCCGTCAAGTTTATTATCCACAACACGGACTTCATGTCATGTAACGAACGCATCTTTCAAAGCAAGCTGTTTGGTAGCTGAAATAAGTGACTAGGGTACCCTAATAGGTGATACTAAGGTTAATTTATTTTCTTTAAGTTTGTTCCATGTTAATGTGTAGAAAAATAGAGGACATAAATTAGTATATGCATTCCGATTAAGATTTCCAATTTTCTTCTGAAATTTTGTTCGATTATTTAACATATATTTATAATAAGTAAACAAGCGCAGAGCCCATTTTTGCACGGCTTAATAGTGCATATTTTTATATTATCAAATTATAGCAAATTAAAATACTATAGGCATAAAACCACATAAAAAGGACTCGTTAAAATTTATATATAATATATGTATCTGAACTAAATGTACGTCAATAAAGAACCATATGAATACTATAACAAAATTATAGAATGTGACACCTGAAAATAGATAGGGTCCTAAAATAAGATACTAGCAACATTATTTTTGAATCGAAAATATTTTATTTTATGAGATTGTGTACCATAATATACAACTATTTTAACGACCAAATGAGGTATTAAGTCTAAATTAATTATAATACCAGTTTAATCATCTGGAAACGAGACAAATAAAGCGACAGCCAAAAATTATTAAATCTTATTGCTTTTATCACACTAATAGAATTTCTATGTACAGACGTACATCAATTTATTACTTATTATAGGAATTCTGGATGCAAATATACTTGACAAATATTGCATCTATTTAGATCGACCAATGTAGTCAAGCTAACTACCAAACATATCAGCACTCAAAGGGTACATACTTAATATTAAAAAAATGAGAAAATATTTAATCAAATCTTTGATAACTCCTTTTAATTTATATAATTATAGGCACCAGCCCCATTTCTCACAACACCAAACTTGCAAACTACACAATATTTACACAATTTCGAGCCATTTTTGACACCAAATATTCAAAGCTGCATGTATAAGCGAGAATTGATTTAATCTCGTATTTTACTTACAAAATATAGTTTTAACTTATGACATCGTCCGCGTCATCTGGATATATTTGACCAATACAACTAAGCTTGTGTTTCTCAGAAGCAGATAATACGTAAACGAGAAATTCACGAGGATCGGTTGAGTTGGTAAGGCACTAATTCAATTTCGCTTTTATTTCTAAATGCGAAATTAAGTGTTTGTTTATTATATTGTACTGTACTATAATATTAATAATGTCAATACATCTACATATGTATGTTTCTTAAGTGAAAAAAATTAAGCATTTGATAATTTGCTGTATAATGAGATAACACATTAGGTGATCCAATTTATTATGTCTAAGTGAAATTAATTTCATTAACTAAAATAGAATAATATTTAATTATTGTGATAAATTGGAAAACAGACTCAACCGAGAATTGGTGAGAAACTTGTATGAGTTTGACAAACTTATACAAAGTTTGTATGTCTTCTTTATTTTAAATGGCTGCCACCAAGTAATAGTAGTAATCTAAAGTTTGTTTGAGTATTTACTAAAACTGAATATATTCTAAATTCAGATAGTAGACTCCCAAACATCCTAAGGGCACATGTTATATCTCTTTTGTCACATCTTATAAAATATATACTAATGTATGACTGAAACGTAAGTTATCAAAGATTTGAAATGTGTTATCTAATGTACACTAATAAGAGAACTCTTGTCCACCACAAGAGTTATCTGCTCTCTGGCTTGGGTTTCGGCGGTTTGAAGCCCATTATCTTCTTCTTCTTCTTTTCTTTACTGCCACCAGACTGGAACGTTTTCCAACTGTCTACGCGGTTTTGTCGAGATTCCTGAAAGAGTTATATTCCTAATTTTTATTTGACCTGAGTGATGTTACCGTTTTACACACTTCCATATAATTCGAATGTATTACGAAGGGACATGTTGTCTTAGGTAATATATCGTAAGTACGTGTATATATGGATAATATATTTATTTAATAAATATTTTTTGTAAATTTTCCAATTGTTTATGTTATATAATTTCATATAATTATCAGAATAATGACCGGCCATTCTAATTGTACCAAATAAGTTTTACATATATACTTTTATATTTAGTTCAACAGATAATCCAGTCTTTATTAAACTTACTCTACACGTTTCTATTGTATGTTTCTGTACGTATTTATTGGATTGGAGGAAATGCTGGACATTGGAATGCTTTTGGATTGTAATGATATAAGAAACCATACCTCAAAGTTCTTTGCCCACTCCTTCTCTAGAGACATTTGTTCTTCTTGCTCTATCTCAGCCTCACGTTTTCGCTTCCTCTCTTCCATGTCTCTTGTTTCTAAATGCTGCCGTTTTCTCTCCATGTCGGCAAACAACTGGATATAGAAACATTTTTTATATTTTTTAAAAATTGCCATTTAATTTACATTTTATTATAATCACTACGGATTCCCGCGAATCTGTACACATAGTTTATAATTAGAAAGGGCACTGACAAGTTTTTAAGACAGACAATTGTACCAAATGTTTTCAAAAAACATTTGCACAGAAAAACAGAGCTTTTAGCGATTTTATTATATACCTATGTAAATGAACTGGATGTCAGAATGTTTTATTTATAATTGACTACACCTACAACAACCATGAAAAAGAATAGAAAAATAGATAGGCTGATGACATGACATAAAAGGAAAATATTGGTTGCACACTGCCTTGGAAAAAGAGGGTGGAAGGAAGAAGGATTTTAAAATGTTTGCTTATTTTTAACAAGGAAAATAAATAATCTAAGAATAATATAAATATGTGAAATAATAAAGATAAATGAATAATGATAAAATAAATTACCATACACGCATCTTTGTATTGATTAATGTAAAAAGATAAATCTCTTGTGTAACAAATTAAAATATTCCTCATTCAAATATAAACTGATTATATCATTCTGTAAGTTGCGTAATTATAATTACAATTTCACATCCATGTAAAATAAAGTCTGAATGCTGATCATCAAGCATCAATCATCTGAGGTTCATGAGTATATCAATACAAACACAGAGCCAAAGAGATAAAACACTTCCAAATACAAGACAAGGTTAGTAAATCATCCCAATGTCCAGCACATGATAACAACTGATAGTCCACATCAACATATGTTGCCTTAAAAGGCATTGACTACTGGAACCTGATGACTAATCAGGACCATTTCAGACAATGATTCCACTGGGAATCACACTCTACCTAAGTTTTCTACATCTGCTTATGCTTATTCTAGATTGTCTTTGACTGATTGCAAGATAGGTATAGAGAAAAATATTAAAATTATTCAAGATGTTCTTACTTTCATAGTCATAACATAGACTGCATGTTTATATTTAACAGGGTCATCCTCTGGAATGCCTTCAGCCATCCTACTTTCCTTCTTCAATTTCTTCCGCTTTTGTTCAATCTGCAAATTAGAATTATTTCATTTAACTTAGATTCTAAGCATATAATAAGTAGCTTATTTACATACAACCTGTCCATGTATAATACCTGTCCATTGTAAATAGCTTTTACATGTGTAAATATGTAAAATATAAAAACTACTTTTATACTGAAAAAGTATTACAAATGACCATACTGCTGTCACCTATGAAACCCTTAATTCCAATTCTCGCAAATGGCTCAACAACATATACCATAGCCTCAGTGGTTTAGCAATTTATCACATTGCCTTATTTATGATAATCAGGTTCGATTCCTAACGCTATATACACTTTGAATTCATAATTAACTGAGTTTTGTTTGTATTCTGTTAGTTTTTACATATATTATTAACCTACAAGTTATGGAATACACATGGTTACTCTGCATAGTTTGGAACTAGATGGCACTATGTGAATTGTACTGGGTTATTATTATTTAACTTTGAAGAATTCAGATATTGCATTTGAATTGCATAACAAATTATAATGTAAATATTAACCATATGATCAGTTCTTTCTTTGGCTTCTTGATAAATATCCAAACATTTTTTCCTTGTGTCGTCATTTTCCAAGGTTTTCCATGATCTATTTACTATTTCAAATGCCTGTTGAGCTCGCTCGGAATCTTCCTGTAATTTAACACAATTCTTTTTAAAAACCAGAAAAATATATAACTCAAATATGTAATTTTCTTTATTTTAAAATATTATTTTTTTAAATTGAATCAAAGTGGAGTAAAAATATATGATTTGAATATTTTCTACTTGTGTATACACTCGTTTCACTTTCGTATCTTACCTATGAAGCACGGAGTCCAGTTGGGCCACGGTATGGATCCATCTGTGGATAAAAATGAAACGTTGACGGGCGTAACCGTCTACACTAAACAAAGATGACCCTCACTGTACGACTTCTCAATGAAAATTATTGCTTTATAGGGCTATGTATACTTATATTACAGTTAAAATTTATATTTCTAATCTAATATGCTAATATAATAGATTATATTGATAACTGGTATTTTGTTACATTATAGGATGTTTTTAAACTAACCATTATTTAACTATCTACAAAAAAAACGAAAGATGATATAGAACAGAGACCCAACTCACCATATTTTTATCCGGGTGAACAAGAATAGACAATCGTCTATACTTCTTCTTAATTTCATCGAGTGAAGAATCTGGTTCCACTTGTAGAACTTCAAAAGGATTGAGGTTGAAATATGTGGATCCTGGACGTAATAGTCTATCGATTTGTTGCTTCGGTGTTAATACTGAATCACGTTTTTCTATCTCCTTAACCTGAAATTTTAAAAAGAGAGTGTGTAGAGCATTATATTTAATAACAAACTATTCTATACAGAATTCATTTTGATGTAATAATGCAAGAAATACAATGAAATTGAAACGCGACATGCTGTTTGCTTACCTCTGTATAGAAGTCATCAAAAGACTCTTCTTTCGCCGTAGAAGGAGCCGACATATTTAATATTATTATAAATAAGAGCACGTATATGATAACATGAATACAATAGTGTTTAATTTATTTAACACTGAACAAGATAAACTTGTTAAATTCAGTAGTAAATACTCATTAGATTGAGTTTATTAAATAACATTCATTCTGTTAATATTAATCATTCAGTCTATTTTTCATTTATTCACTTAATCATTCATTTCATTCAGTAGACAGTGACAGTGACTACAGACTTGCAATACATGTCCATAGTTACCTTAGACTATTAATACAAGTTTTCTCTGTCTACGATAGTTACTGTCACAGTCTGTAGACAATGCAAGTTTTGCATTGTCCACAGCCACAGACTGCGATAGACAGACAATATAAATTCGTATGAATGATAGCGACTTATTTTAGCACTAATAACAGTACGCAACTTCTTTAACCTTTTTTTTTACTTACTGAAAATCGTACTATGCGAGTTTAACGCTTGATAATGCGTATGCCAAAATGACACTCATTGTCAGATTGAAATGATGTTTCGCATAATTAATACATTTTTTATTAATAATTACAGCATCTGTATTATTCTTATATATAACTTCAGTATAATTTAAAGTTTTTAAAAAATATATATTCTATATATCCATATCTATCGTCTGTATTCATCAGGGTTAATGTAGAGTTCTATAAAATGTGTATTGAATAAACATAATGCGTTTACAACATATTTTTTATGACACTTTACTAGATTTATATAATAGTTTTCAATATTATTTATCTATTAAAAGCACCTTTTGCTGGAAGTGATGCTATTCGAACAGACGTTCGAACGGGATAGCATCACTTTCTGCAATGTTTCATATAGGAATCTATTTCCTAATAATTACATTGGATGAAAATTGTACTTTACTGCTTGGTCATAAGAATAAATTCTATTTTCATCGTACATCAAGCTCACCTTCCAGTAACGTCGTAAATAATTTACATAGTTAAGTGTAAAGTTACTTCCATTATTAATATATTATAGTTTGATAACTTGACTTGACTTCTTCAACATACACGTGACATTTGTCGGTATTATATTTCTGTTTTGTTACTTTTATCTTTATCTTTTCATTTAATCAAGTTTTTTCAATAATTCTTATTATAAATAATTTACAGTAAATTTACATAATCAACACAGAGATTTTTTATTACATTATTATTACCTTTACTTTGGTAAGAGTTTTTAACCTTTTAATAAAACTTTAGGTAAATTATTAAAAATGCTTTGACAATTATTCATATTCAGTAATTATTTGTTGAATACATAAACATAAGTAATATAAATAGGAAAAGTTAGATTGATTGTTAGAGTTTGAATTTTGAGTCGTTTTCAAAATTGAGGCCAAACTATAAATTCTTATTATAACCCTTGTAAAAAAAATATAAATCAGTTTTCTTTCTTGTTAAAAGATAATACTGTAATATATAATATTATTATATGCAGGACAAAGAGTGACAACTGTCTGATTTCTTATAAGTATCTAATGATGCCAACCATTTAATTTTTGTTGAAGAATATTAAAATTAAAACATTTGGGAAATTAAAAATTATTAATACATTGTATACTGTTATCCTAAGAAATGTATATATTTTTTTATATCTAACTTGACAATAAAAATTTTGATTTCCAAGTTATTCTAAAATAGTTTTTAGTTGTTATTCTAAAATAGTTTGACACACCATTAGAGAAATGGTATTCCCGAACAAAATCAATAACTCCAAACAAAAATATATATAATTTACAAATAATTTTTATAAATAATTTACAAAACACTATATTTTATATTTAAGTAAATACATAATAGACCATGACTACTATCAGACACAAATATCTATTATGTCAACTTATGTATTTGCAAATACTTATCTTTTAAATTAAAATTCTGAAATATTTTATGCAGGTAAGTACAATGTTTTTAGACAAAGTCGTACTTATTACCGGAGCTAGTTCTGGTATTGGCGCAGACACTGCCATAGAATTTTCAAAATTGGGAGCACATTTAGTAATAACTGGCAGAAATAAGGAAAATCTGGATAAGATTTCAAAACAATGTGAAGATATTTCCCCGAGACAGTTGAAACCAATAGTCGTAATTGCAGATATGAACAAAGAAAATGATGTGGAAAATATAATAAAAACTACTTTAAACCATTATAAGAAATTGGATGTTCTTGTAAACAATGCAGGTATTTTAGAAGCTGGTACTATTGAGACAACTACTCTAGCCCAATATGATAGAGTTATTAATACAAATGTTCGTGGGCCTTACCATTTAACTATGTTGGCTGTTCCACATCTTATAGAAACAAAAGGAAATATTGTAAATGTATCAAGTGTAACAGGTTTAAGGTCTTTTCCAAATGTTCTTGCATACTGTATGTCAAAGTCGGCACTAGACCAATTCACAAGATGTGTTGCTTTGGAATTGGGATCAAAAGGCGTCCGAGTTAATGCCGTAAATCCTGGTGTCATTACTACGGGTATACATAAGAAAGGAGAGGGTAGTATGAATGAAGAGCAATATGCAGTATTTTTAAAGAAATGTGCTGAAACTCATGCTTTAGGCCGACCAGGTGATGCCAAAGAAGTTGCATCTGTTATTGTATTCTTAGCCAGCGAAGCAGCAAGCAATATTACGGGCGCAACATTACCTGTAGATGGCGGTCGGCATGCCATGTGTCCTCGATAAACACTTGAGCAATGTTTTTAAATTAAAATACACACGAATATATAGTATTATAATTCTGAAGTAGGATTCTTGTTTTCAAATGATATGTTGTTTTTTGTCAGTATCCATTACATTTATTTCATGTTTAACATACAATTTCATTTTATTAATCAATCTTTATGTATTTGAAATGTCTATGTTTCTTGTACATTACATTCAAAACATTCTTAGCTGGACCCAATTGGGGTCAAGTTAGGTAGAATTTAATGTAGTAATAGTAGATATAAACCAGGAAAATTAAAATGTTTTGAACCCACTAATAATTATTGATGGACTTTAAAACTTTTTATATAATATGTTGTATTATATTGTAAAAATAATGAAATGTCTATATTTTAAGTATATTCATAATAAATTATAGAATGTAAAAAATATATAAATTCCTACATATAGGTAGATATAATATTAACGTTTGATCTATGTAGAATATTAATATTTTTTGTAAGAACTGTAATTTGGCATATTTTATTATTTATAAAAGTTATTATGCAATTTATCCATTGTATTTATTTCATGTTCTTTTACACATTGTATAACTTTAATTGCTTCCATTATAATGTCATTGGATGCGGCTAATAGACCTTGTATTGAACAGTTAACTATAGCATCTAACACATTGTCGAGAATTTTTCTAGATGTCAATCGCTGAAATAAAATTGATATATCAACACTAAAACAATATTTGAATAGTGATCGTTGTGTTTATTACAGAATAAATATTTTAACTGACCTGTTTTAGTATCTCACTTTCTTTATCAATTATTTCGTCTAGTATATGTTCTCTAGATTTATGAAGACATTCTTCATCAATATCACCTGTTTTGGTACATAAGTCTAGATTGTTTTTTAACTTTTCAGTAAATTCTGTCTCGTCGAGTGCAAGCGATTGATTTGCCAATAAAGTTATTGGAGCAAGATTATTTGATATGCACAATGCTACATCCTTCAATATTTGTTTTGAGATTGTCTCAATTTCCTTGTTGTGCTCCTGTTAAATTAATAAATTTTATAGTTATTGACATAGATAAATTAAGATAATATTAATATGTGACTTACCTGTAGGCATATTTTCACAATTTCCCCTGTTCCAACTGATTCTTCTATCATATCATTAATTTTCTCTCTGAGCTTATCTAATCGTACTCTTCATTCATTCTTAATTTTTTCGGCACGTATTTTAATATTTTCTATCAATTTTTTTGTAATTTCGTTTGTATTATTTGCAATATTTTTAATATAATTCCAGGCATTTGTGACACTTGTTGTAATACTGCTCCAAATATCGCTTGCACTTCGCAATTTATTATAATCATATCGATCTAATTTCTGTGCAAATACTTTCGATATTTCATTATTATGAATATTATTATCATCTGGGTTAATAATTTTGATAATTACATCTTTACTTTCAATTATCTGAAAGGTAACGTAATAGTTATTTTTTATTTATTTTACAATTAATGGGAATCTTTACAGTTAACTACAGTTAACTGTAAAGATTCCCATTAATTGTCTACAGACAGCTACTCTATTAATCTAAATGCACACGAATCCATCAAGGGTCGTGTTTGATAAGATTTTTAACCCTAGAAATTTATTTGGTACATAGGTATAGTAATCGAAAAGTTACCATACCAGTTTATAGTTGATTATCAAACAAATACTTAGATATAAGTCATCAAAGATTCAAAAGATGGAGATACCTACATAAAATAAAATCATAACTTTGAAATACAATCTCTCATAGTTTGTAAAATGTTTCCCATATTTTGATTTATTTATAAATTAGGTACATACCTGGCAATTACTTATTATTAGTTGAATAATGGATAAGAAATATATGTTCATTGTTCACAAGTTACGTTCAATCTACACCTAAGCTGGAGTACGGTGTTTAATTGGACGATATTTGATTATCTATACTTATATATACTACTTATATTGTAGTTAATTACTTCAAGTGCTTAGTTAACATAGATGATTTATTATATAAATTAAGCTGTAGTTAGACTAAACCAAAAGAAAATTAAAACTAGAATTTTGAAAAAAAGGGGGACCACAATTGATCTTCGAATGTCGTGGTGCTACAGGTCTGATACACCATGTAGCCCAAACCTTTAAATAACAAAAATAGAAAACCAACAAATGATTGATGAATAGATATTGACGACCTCGGTGGTCTATCGGTCTAGCACACCGCTTTACGTCTGGTGGTCGCGGGTAGGATTCCTCGCACGGCACAAACATTTTGTATTCATGAATCATGAGTTTCTTTTTCCCCTTTTATTAGTTTCACCGTTTTTTTTTTTTAATGTAGGTACATATTTTGATTTATTTTAAATCTTAGGCTCTCGCTGCGATTTGATACAGGGGAAGTCTTTAATAGAAGTTTTCACTGTAGGGATATATATTATGTTACATGAATGATGATAGTTTAATATTTATAGTCGTATGTTTATATTATTTTATTTAAGTACTTTAGCCACAGCAACGCGTGGCCGGTTCTGCTAGTAGGTATATATATATACAATTGCTAAATGCCAGAAATAAGTATAGAAATCTAATTGCAAAAAAAAAAAACAATATTCTATTGTACGCAAATGCAATTGAGATATGAAAGATATGCCATATTCATTTAATGTTTTATGTAAATTTTTTTTATGGTACTTTGATTTTGACGGGTATGGATATTCTCAGATAGCTAATGTTATAAGGAATGATTTAAGTTGTTTTTATTTATATTTTAATTAAAATATTTAGATGAACAAAATCGCGGGTAATAGCTAGAACTAAATAAAAATTGAGTTCTACGGTACTTACGGGAAAAATAGGTTTATTTGAAAAAATCTGACCAAACTTCGACGTTTGCTTGCTGCGTCTAATGTACCCTTATAAATTGATTTTATTGTTATCATCTGACATTATTTATGTCGTTAAATATTTACTAATATATATGTCAAGTGTAGTTTCAATTGTATTATAGTATCTAAGTAGGCGTAGTTTATCCAGCGCATAGCAATACTGGAGTATATTTTTATTTATCACAACATTAACAAAGTGAATCAAAATATTAACGTCGTAACGACTAATTAATAGAAAGGATTTAGTTAGAACTTAGTACCTGCCGTATAACAGTTACTGTTGGTAAGCCTGGTATTATGTAAGGTTCTACTAGTATTTTCACTCATTTATCAGAAGTGTAAAACTATTAATGAAACAATATGAAATATGCATTTAGTAGTTATATATTAAATATAAAGTCATCATCAGATTAATTAAGAACTGGATCCAGTGAATGTAGAGAATACAGATGCAGCGGAACAACTCCCGATTTCCACAATAATTTTGGTTGTTGCGACTCCTGTTACCATCAGTTGTGTTCCCGCGCAGGCTTCCAGAGCAAGTGGAAGTGTCGCCAGGGCAAAGTTGATGCGGCTTATCTGTAATACAAGCATTGTTAGTGCTTAATTTTTTTTAACTGATATAAAATTTCTTCTCTTATATTTTTACGTTAAGTTATGTAAGTATATGTAGTATATGTGAGGCTAAAGAAATAGTGTTATTACTTACGTTATACTTGTACACCGTAAGGAATATAATGTTTAGAAATATTTATTTTAGTTCTTATAACTTTTAAATTAACATTATTAGGTAAAATATTTAAAATATGCTTCGTAGATGTGAAAAGTGACGACCATATAATTTAATTTTATATACACCAATGCACGTGGAACGCACAATCAATAATGTCTTAAACCCTGATAGGAAATTGCTATAAGATCTATCGATTCTCGAACTGATAAATTATAGATGATTTCGATTTACTACGTACATGAGCAACAACAATAAATTTGTATGACTATAAATACCTATCCCTATAAATTCATTTCCGTTTCTTCTTTGACGTAAAGATATTAAAGTAATCCATAGACCGAAACTTCTACTTCTAAAGTAACTTCTAACTGTACATAAGTACAAAGCCTCATTCTGGTAATCATATTATATTAGTTAGCTTATACTCTCGAGTAGGCCGTCCCGTAACATTTATTAAAAAATCTTATTGTAGTGTATAGGTAGCTACTTACCGCTAAAGTACTTTGTGCCAAAAATGAGCCTGCCTTCAACTCGGTCTGGATTGCAACTCTACCTAAACAGGACCCAGTTGTTAGAATGTTTTGAGAATCTTGATTCTGTTCCATGCATGCCTTCATCTGTTCCATAGCGGTGTTGGCGAACTCTGAAGCATTAGTGGCTACATCATTTAAGTCATCTAATTGATCGCCTATTTCTTTGACACGTCCATCAGCGCATGTCAACGTACTCTTCAATGTCTCATTGAATAGAGTTTCAGTTTCGCCTTTGTGAGCCTGGAAACAAACAAAATGCCCTGAAACTTACATTATAAGCTTGGGATTGTATAACTCGGTAACAAGAAGTTCTTGAACAGCTTTTCAAATGACCGGTAGAATAAAAAATATATGACTCTTCAAAACTGCTTGAATTTAAGTTTATTTGAATAAAGAATTTTTATTCAAATAAACTTAAATTTCTAATCTATTCTTGAGTATTTTTCAGTGTAGTATTATATATTTCTTTATTAATTAAGACGACTTGAAAATGTATACTTACAGAAAATTTGCATTAGTATATTTTATGTTATTGGAATCGCTAACAAACTGACGGTCCACCGGATGGTAAGCGGAACTACCGAAATATCTTACAAAACGAGCTGTTTGGCGTCGGAAATACGTGAGACTGAGGTATTCACGCAGCGTAAAAAGTCGTCTAATAAATGACAGTACCTAATTATCACTATTATCTATCACCTTTTTTTTACAATTTATTTTGCTTTATTACATATACATACATACATATATAAAAAAACTAGATTTTAGGTTTTCCATTTCTCTTTTTGATAATATAAATTAGTTTACTTCTAAAATGAAAGTAACTTACGTTAACACAGTCTCTGACAGCGGTACTCGAATTGGAGAACCTATCAGTTATTGATTGGATAGCTTGGGTAACTCTGTCTCGCAATTTCTGAAGGTTAGCTGAAACTCTATCCCGCAGTTCTTTCACTTGATCGGAAACGCCTACCCTGAATGTTCTTATAGCATCAACAGCATCTTTTGCTGATTTACGCAGATTCTCAATCAATTGTTCAACTAAAAGCCTGTAAATAAGTAATATAAATTATTATGAACATACGTTAATGCATCAGAATGCACTAACATTTGATGAATAACAATTAAGTAGGTACACGTATTATAAGTAGATGTATATACAAAAAAAATGTACGTACGTATGTAGGTACTAGATATCATAACACGAGCACTACTTAGGTTGGGATTAGATAGCGCTATTTGATTGTAATGTATGTAAGTACATTGCAATGTATTCGTAGCTGGTTTGAAAATAACCTTAGACCCGGTAGGTGGCGCTGCCTTTTACAAGACGACGTCTGTTGAGTTCGCTATTGTTATAATAAAACATAATAAAAAAATTATATAGTACATGTGTACAACATACATATATATGAGATATTTTGAAAACAAATATAAATTAATAAAATATAGTTATGTGCAGTACTTAAAATACAACTTCTACTTAGATTGTGATTAGTAGGCTCTGTATGAATGATTCTGGGTTCCGGGAGAACGAGGACATCGATTAAAAAAAAATATGATCCGTGTTTGTTAAATTTACTCATAATATGTATCTATTTTGACCGTGGGAAAGAGATACCTTCCTATCTAATAAGACAAATACAGATGTGTAGATAAAGTACACTTTTGTATTTGTCCAGCTGCTAAATGATCTTATTATTCCTTTTAATTAACAATCTGGTGTTCCAAGAATATAAATTAGCTTAATTTTTTTATGTTAATTATTTATTATGTTATCAGCTGCTTATACGCTATATCAAATATAAGCCAATGTCTATTTGACAATATATAACGAGTGCCTCCGTGGCGCAATTGGTTAGCGCGTTCGGCTGTTAACCGAAAGGTTGGTGGTTCAAGCCCACCCGGGGGCGAAACACATTTTTTGGACAACTCCAAAGTTGTCTTATCTAATTTTAACGTATGTACTGTCTTTCCCCGATTATTAAGATATTAGACTACATATACCGCAATATACCAGTGTGGGTACCCAAGGTACCTTTACCAGCCACTTTAGAGTCCTTTAACGGAATATTTCTAATGAAACACTAAATAAACAGTTGTGACTAAAATCAGCCAGAATGTCTTTATAATCACTAGATAATGACTAAAAAAATGTAACATGTATTGTTACATTTCCACTATTATACTTCCACAAATAATGAGGTGGTAATGATGTATTTTAAATTATATTAGAGATTACAATACTCACCTCGTATTTCCAAGGAAATTAATTTGACGCCGTTGTCGGACTAAGTGATTTTCAGTATCGGTTGGACTTGCGAGAGATGACGCCTGGAAAAGAAATTACGATTACCTCACGTATCTATCACCATACGAGATAGCGTCTTCTCCTTGGAGACATTTTGAAAAATTCAATTAAAAACGTAAATAGCTAACTAAACGACGTAAACATACATTAAAAACAGCTGTTATACGAAAGAAGTTTAATGGGGTTAGTTCTAAAACTACAGAATGTAGGTATATATTAAATATACAATGCAATTATGTTGACATCAAATAAATAATTTTTCTTTGCAGACTGGTGTAATGTTAGTTAATATTCATAATTAACAAAGGACTTACCAACACCGCCAGAAGTAATAAGAATACAAGAGAAGCGCGCATTTTGATTACACGTAGTAACTATTTACGTTTAGAGGACGGAATCAGTAAATGATGGTGTTCAGTATTAATTATCGTATATATATAGTATGTATGGGTAAATGCAATAATTATCTAGGTGTTTTAGAGCAAATACAATTTATCTTATCATACCTACCCATGGGATATAAGCAAATATTGTATTTTAATTATCAACGCAATTGGTTAACTCCATATTGCGTTGTTTTGCAATAGTATCCATATAACATATTAAAACATTGTGAATTTACTTACTGTTTATCTAATATTCACCATATATAATGTACCTACGTTCATAGATAGGCATTATTTTTTACAACATGTGTATTTGACCTACAAAACAGACAAATAAAATATAATTCAATTTCAAAATAATAAGATCACTCATTATGAATTTGGGTTAAGTTTTTTATGTACCTGAAGTGCCAGACAAGTTAACGACCGCCCAACTGATGGCTAGTTGTTACCTATATACGAGTATAAAACATAAATAACACCACGGCCATAACGTCATAATGTAACGCATGTGGTCGGTACTTCTTGTGTTGCCACTACGGAGGACTTTTCAACAGAATCAGTTTCCATACAAACAAACTATTCACATACGCAACTATACGCAGACGACTTTTTGCAAAGTCTATCTCAACAAAAATAAATAAATGAATAATATACATATATGGACACACCGCTTTACTTATGATCGAGGATTCGATAACCCGCACGTTGCAAACTTTTGTATTCATGAGTATGATTTTTTGAATCGGTCTGAAGGTTTTCTATGTATATTAAGAAATGTACATTTGTATATACATCAGTTGCCTAGTAGGTACTCCTAAAACAACTCATAATTGAAAACCTAACAAGTTAGTGTGTAATTAATACCTAAAATTAATGCCTAATACAATACAATTTCACATTTTGTATAAAGTTGTCTTCATTAGAAATCAATTTGCATTGCTATTTATGTTCCGTAAGTAACTATAATAAATTCATTCCTACTATGAATGTATATAAGGAAATGTACACTTAGTATTTTTTTTAGTATCTCATGTTAGATGCCCGTCTAGCCGTAAGATCAGTTAGCTAAGTATATATTAACTCTTAAATATAGGTAAATACGTACCTATATTACAATGTTCTCATTTTTATGAGATATGATGCAAGTGCACTGATAAAATGATCAACAATTCAAGGTCTCAGATTAGAGACTGTTGTCTATTACTATTTATATAATGATATTGAATTTTTAATGCAAATAGTACAGTTGAAACTGTAAATATTAAATGGGAATACCTACTTAATATTTACAACCGCCCTGTAGGTTATAAGAATAATATAAGAAGTGATTAAAACTGCCCTACCTATATCAGATTTTTATTGATGATTATTGAAATCATGCAGCTCTTTATACTAAGGGTATATACTCATCTAAGTATTAACTACAATGGTTTTCATAGGTACCTCTTAGAGGCTGACCTACAGTGTTAAAATATTATAGATGAATGTAGGATGGTGCACTCCACAAAATCGTTTCCGGTACTGTTGAGTATTATATATTTTTAGGTTCTATAGTATTTAGTGGGCAGATGGACACAAAATGTGTATACACAGTACACAGTAGGTACGTAAGAGATTAACTCAACAGATCAGGACGATCAACCGTGTGTCAAGCTGTGTCGTTTGTAATGTCCCAATATTGCATACCTACCTATTTATATATGTTACCAATTTAAGTTCCATTCACATGAATAATTTGTTGGATTGACCTTTTTACGAAACAGCTGAACGGATTTTAAAGAAATTTGACATGATGATGAAATCCATCCTGGATTGTATCACGAGAACAAACATAGTAGCCTATATAATTAAAATAATTATGTGTTATTTTGCGGAAGTCCATTTCATTACTTAAAGAGTTTGTATTGCTTTGTTTAATTCCGCTATCAGTAGCATGTACAACTGTTTGCTAAGTTGCAGTTCTGACGGCAAACAGTCAACACTAGGCTTGCAATCTTGTTTGCAATATGGGTGTAGACTCAATAATAGTCGGAATTCTATCACCAGTATAGAAGTTAACAATAATAAATAAAACGTGATGAGACCTAATTTTCTTCCTTCCAGTGGCAGTGCTGGAAACCTGACGATCAGTCGTCAGGTTTCCAGAACTGAATATTTACAGTCTCTCACATGCTAATGGTAACGGAATTAAACAATCCTTACTAATATTATAAATGCCAAAGTAACTCTATCTGTCTATCTGTCTCGCTTTGACGCCAATACTACTGAACCGATATAAATGAAATTTGGTACATAGATTTTTAAAGACTCGTCAATTGTATAGGTAGCGCGCTGGAGTAGTCGCGCGCGCAACTGTTTATTGTCAATTAAAATATATAAACGTTTGCTCTGCAATTTTATTTAATAAATACAGAAATATAATCCTGGTATCCCATAACTGGTGACCCCGCTCTTGGACAAGAACGTAAGAACATATTATTCATATTTTTGATGAATAAAAGTAAATGTTTATGTTGATGAAGTTGCGGGTAACAGTTAGTTAAAATAATATGTTTGTTTTAGTGACACCTCTACAATTTTATTAGCTTTGTTGAGTAAACAGTTTTAACAGCTGCCTAGTACTATGCTATTACTATTGTGGGTTTTAGTAACACGGATCCCTCCAATCGATCCCCCGCCCAATTCAAACAGAGATCGAGATTACGACGGCCTGAGCAGAGGTTCGAACCCTTAGCGGTGTTCTCAAGTCAGGGGGGAGTTCGCCTGTAGCCGCTCCATAAGTCCATCCGCGGGTTTGGAGTGCCATCTGCACTCGCACCCTATCGTCCGGTGACGCTGTAGAGGCCGGCTGCGGCCAACAGCATTAGAGTAGTCCGAAAAAAGAAAAAAAAGAAACACAGGAAAACTAAATCAATAATGTATACATATACTCAATTTATTTTAATCTATGCCATGTAGGCTTAATTGTATTGAAGCAAACTACGCAGTATAGGGAATTTTTACATTAGTTATACCTAAGGCCATAAAATTGGGGTTAATAAAATGCAGATTACTTAATACCTTCAAGGTATACTAGAATACCCTGTGGTATTATTTTAGACATAATACGGTCGAGTGCGGCAAAACTGAATATCTTGATGATTTATTTCAGAGTCAAGATAGTGACATATTACCTATGTACATACATTCCCATAACTCCTATCTATATATATTTATTTACTTTGGTTACAAAGTCTTCAGTACTATAGCGGTGCGCCTTCAATTTTTTATATGCATATTTGTGTTTTAGCGTTTTGATTATGACTTTTATAACAGGAATTCTAATAATAAGGTTGGGTAATTGGTTTGAAGTAATTTTAGTAATTATACAAATTTCTGAAATAACTTCAAATAAAAAAATCATGATGCAACGTCATATTTATATGAATACTAATTAATATTGTTTGTATATTGTACGTAGCAAATACACTTATAATATATAAAGAAAACACCGAGTTTTTTTTAACAATTACAAATGATTGGATCCACTAACATGGTATATTAGCAATCCCTACAAAAGACCGAAATTTACAAAAACTATTACTTTCTTTCTCAGAAAGTAATTTAGATACTATGTGAACATATGAGTCAATGGTTTTAAGTGTGAAAGACGCGGACTTTATTTTAGGACTAGTAAATAAATACGTTACGGTTTGCAAGGCTGCATTGCAAAACCGTCCATTGATTCTTGTTTTGTTAGTTCTTTATTAAGTTACGAACTGTGCTATGTGAAAGTCTCATTGATGACTAATCAAGTGGATAGACTCTACTAAGCTAATGTGACGCTAGGAGCTCTCGATTTCCTCAATACGTAACATGACAAGCGCAATGCGATGTAGTAATATCATATTATGTGATGGACAGGGAGGGAGAATTGCTGGTAATGGAGATTACTAAATTCATCGCTAGCAGAGTATCCCTGTCAAACTGGATTTTTATTCAGTTCTTTCATGGATACCATCTTGATTAATTCCTCACGATAAAGTCAATCATAAAGTTAATCATATTTAAAATTTAAATAAAATAATCTTCTAAAAGTTCTTGGACTGTCTAGAACTGCAACAGTGTGTTTTCTACATTAGAACGTGTATCTAAAGTTGCACTAGCAGGCGAAAGAGCGGTGATGGTAAATCGTAAAGTTAATGTATATCGTAAAGGGGCTCCTTAAACCTCAAACAAGGTAAATGTCACAAGTCCCGGGAACTTCTCGGAATGTTCCTCTCTACCACACGATGGACGTTGCACTCGCACTGTGAATCCATGGAATGCTGAAAACTTCGTTTCTCTCTAAAATTACTATTTCGGGTTATTGAAATAAATAAAACTCGTTACAGAAGATTTTCGGTCAATGTCGAATTGCCTATTCCTAATTTTAATAACAACTAAGGTTTAGGTACATATTATTGTCCTTAAAATAACAATTGCGATCCGCTACGCTATTGACATTGCAACTCGGCAAGGCAATGTACCTATTATCACTGACTTATAAATGATCTCTCAGCTCTCAAGTTTCTCCCAATAAAATACAGAGGACAAGAGGTCATTTTAAAATGGTCTACTGGACACCTGTACACACTTAAACTCAATTTATTTGCAAATAATAATTAAGTAAGTAAATAAGATTCTTACTATCCATTATTTTGTTAGAGGTTATTATGTAGCCGTATTTTCCTATGAATAACTATTCATTTTTATTTTTTTGTGTATACTTTAGAAAGTATTAACAGTGTTAGTATATTTATAAAATCCGCAGCCTAAGACGGTCAGACATTTCTTAGAGTGTCTATTAATTGATTTATGAATCGAATTTGTGTTTGTACCAGTGGTTGTTTCTGATCTGTCTGTTCCTTTTATATTTAAAATATTATTTATTTATAATTAATTGAGAATAGTTGCATGTTTTGATCGTAAAATCAATATTTCTATCG